ATTAATATTATCACAATATAATATATTATATAATAATTGTCTAAAAACTTTAAATCAAATTTGTCCTCAATATCTTCAACCAAAATTCCTATTACTTAAAGCAACTCTTTAATAAGCGAATTTGTAAAAAAAAAAAAAAAAAAAAAAAAAAAAAAAAAAAAAAAAAAAAAGAAAAAGACAGAGAAAGGGCAACTTTAATAAGAAAAAGTCATGAAATTATCATATTGTAACATTAAAAAAAATAAATATTATTATTTTACAGCTATATTGCTCTACAATTAATTATTTATTATATTTTATGATCATTATTTTGTTATTTAATAATTCTACATAGTTTTGTATTCCCTTCTTCTGATCTTTATTCTTATTGTAGTTCTAATACCCACTCATTATTTTTTTATTAATTTAGCATTATTGAAAATTTCATAAATGCATGAATATTCAACATGATATAAACCACTCTGACCTAGTGGTTGAGAGCTTTATCTTTCAACTAAGAGATCTCGAGTTCATGGCCTTGTATATATGATCTGTGTATGCTTACGATTAAATTTGTTGAAATTTAAATAATAAATAAATACATAAATAAGAAAATCATTATAAATTTACAAATATTTTAAAGTGATGAGGTAAGATGTGGAGGGTTTATAGGAAAAATTTTTGCATCAGGACTCCAGTCAGTGTCTGTCACGTGTACACACATGCTTTCCCGAGTATTAAATTATTATTATTATTTATTAAGGTGATTAAGAGAATGAGATTAAAGAAAAGGGGATATTTTACATACATACCAACAAATTCATATGAATTTATGCCACTCAAATATTTTATATCACATAAAAAAAATACAATCATTTTAACTTTTAAAATGTAAAATGCATTTTTTTCATACGTAGGAAATCCGGTATGTTTGTACATTGAAATTTAGGTGTTAGATATGTAAATATCTAGGACTTGTGTGGTATGCATGTAAATAATCCATTAAAAATTAAAACCAATAATAATAATAGTTAATTAAGACTAATTCTTGCTTGAAAGTCAAATATACCGAGCTTAATTATAGTTCTCAGTCCATATCTACTCCCGAATAGATCATCATTATTTATTAATTAGGAGGATAATATTATTAATTTCAATTTAAACAATTAAATTATTTACAGCAATATGGATGAAAAATATTTAATTATGCTTTAAGAATCTATTTATCTCTTCCTCGTTATTTCTGCTGCTGAGGAAATCGCACAGAAGAGAGGAATATAACACCACATTTGCAAGTGTCAATTTTTTTTTTTTTAATTAAATTATTGACAAATTTATCATGTATTGACAAATTTATCATGTAGCATCAATCGCGAAGCATGACGTGAATCTCGACGAAGTTTTTAAGCAAGAAAAGCTCCGATTTCGATTGAAAATCATCCAGAACTCCAATTTCTGCAACCTTACGATCAAACTGACCCGCTTGATGTGACGGAATCAATAATATCAAAATTAGTCCAATCCGAGTCAATGCAACCCCTTGAAATATATGATGGTTGAATATATTTATTAAAATATATTCTTTAATTTATTTAGGTCTTTCCATAATTTTATAAATATTTGGTTGATAAAGGATAGCACTAGCCCTTGAAAATGTATAGGCTAATAATATCTTGGCTTGGAGCCTTCAAACAATTTTTGTTGAAATTATCATAAATCTACATAAAATGCATTATTTATTGCCATTTTTTCATAATTTTTTTAGTTTTAAAATTTAAAATATAAGAGAATTTATTAAAATTATAATTAAAATTAAATAAATTTTCTATTAATTAATAATGTAGAATGTTGATTTATCTGTGAATCACACTCCAAAGAATAATGCAAGTTAGAAGAGGGTGAGAGACAGAAAGATGAGGGAACAGTAATATATCATGTCTTGTTCATAAAATGATCTCCTTATTTATATGGCTAAGATTACAATATGATGATGTTATATTTTTCCCCTACTTAAAAGGGGATGTACATGGTATTCTTGTTATTTAACATGTATGAGTTTATCGTATGGTTGCTCCCTGGCGCTCAGTCGACTGAGCTTGTCTGGCTTTGGGTCGACAAAACCGGTTTCGTCAACCAGGCTTGGTCGGCGTTATCAATCGATCAAGCTTGATTAGATTCGGGTCGGCAGGGCTAGCTCGGTCCGCTTATCTTATAAGGTTGTCGACTCTTCATAAAAAATGGAGAAGCTTATCGACATCCCCAATATGTTTGGAGATGCTGAAGGGTTGGGTCTTCTCTTGGGTCGTGTTTTTGGTGGTGGTTGGCTTGCATACCTCATTATCTCGTTTTTATCAAAAGGTTCAAGTTTGGATCATTCAGTCGTCTCGTAGCTAGTTCATCTTCGGCCTTGCTTGTTTTAGCTTGGACTATTGTAATCGATCAAATAAGTGGGCCTCACGTACATATTTTATTACCCCGACTCTCTTACTTTTGGAAAGCGACATAGCGATAAGAATAAGAGAACTAAATATAAAAAGGAGATCATAATTATTCTAAGTAACAATTCAATAATTGAACTCCCTTGAATTCCACACATTTGAACCTTATAAATAAGGCATAACTTTAACAGGACCCTTTACATTCCATATTTGCTTTACATCCTTTCTCATTTGAATTGGTCGACTTCCGCCCACTACTATCGAGAGTGTTCCAAATCCTTCGGTTGGTGTCCTTAGTAAAGATCTACTTCATGTTTCTCTAGGAAGACCGAAGGAACGATACCACCCAGAATGTGAAAGAAAAAAAAAAAAAAAACCAATATTAGGAAGAGAAAACCGATCATGTAGGGTTATCAGATTTGTTTCTTTGCCTTAGATGGAGAAACATTCAAGTGATCGACCTAACCATCAATTTGTCAACTCAACCTTATATTGCACCCCATCAATTGAGAAGACCACGCAAGAAGCTGTTGGTGCTTTGTCGCCGTCTAGGGTACAAGAAGTTGCCAGTGCTCTACCATCACCTGGTGAGGTCATTGTGTTAGTTAAATCATTTGAGTGTAATCAACTCTTTGATATGAGAAGCCACAATCTTGTTTATTAGATTTTAATTTAAATTGGGTCTCTTTTTTTATGTTGTCTTTTGATGTAGAAGATCCAGCACACACAAATAATAAAAAAGTAGAATGAGAAGACAACATGATTTTACATGGAAAACTCCTGTAAAGAGAAAAATCACAAGGCCCGACACAGTCAAAGTAATCCACCTTATAATTATAAGTACAAAAGTTTACTTTTCACCTAAATTAGATAAGATGGAATTGCAATATTAATAACCATATTATGTACAATAGTTATCCAATTTTAATAGTAGTAATTGTGTTACACAATAGTTCCTTACGATAATAGCACTAATGAGCTGTGAAGGGCGTAGTTGATCACTTGAAAAATAATCTTTTGTCGTGAAGACTATGGGCGGTAGGTGCAATATCGTCAGTTGGTCACATATGTCATAATGTAAAGTTATAGCAGTTAGTCATATAGGTTGTGGTTGGTCACATAGACCCTAGTTGATAGCTATAGTAGTGTTATTTAGCCTTCAAGACAGTAACAATCTGATGTAGTTGTTAATCATATAAA